GCCATTTTCGGTTTGGGATAATTTACATGCAAAACACAACTGAACCTGCTTTCTACCAGGAGATAAGCCATTTTCTCTCATGTTACAGAAACTTTATATAGTAATGGGTTAATTTCCTTAGTATTGAATATGATAAAATTCTTCAGGAAGAGAAAGTCCCCCTGGCCTGAAGTGAGCTAGTAAATTAGTTTTCAAAAAGGCACACAGCCTTCAATTTTGAGGTGATTTTTTTTTTTTTTTTAAATCTATGCATTTCACCAACGCAAATTTAAGCAATGGTTTAACATCAGAATGATTCTCTTCCCTACCATTTTTTTTTCTTGTACATTGTTGTTGTAATCACTTATTTGTGAAAAGGCAGTGTAACTTGAAATGCAAGGTGTTATCCAAAAGTTTGGGATTTGATGAAACATTGCTAGTCTCTCATTACTCTATTGCTATTTTCATGCTATATGATAGATGTTTGGGTCAACTACATTCCTTGGTTCTGTCAGTCCAGATCTTCACAGCTAGGACCTGTCAGGCTATGTACACAGAAGTGACTCATCCTCCTTCCCTTCATATTCCACTACTAAGGAGGAAGTTCCATTTGGATATTTTCTTCCCCAGAACTGTTGCATTAGGAAATGTACTTCTGAGAGGAGGCTTCCTCAATTACTATAATATTAACCTCTTTAAATCAAGGGTCAACTGTTATCTATTCTACATGTATGCGCTTAAAATAACCTTAACTAGTAACCTTCTACCTTGAATGGCTCTTGGGCCTTGTACTGGTGAACAGTAGTTAAAAAAAAAAATTATGAAAATAAAAAATAATTTACCTTAGAAATGTGTTAACCTATAATTTTCAGTGTCTCATTCAAAGTGGTCCTCTTTGACTTGTATACAATTTTTTTTCTCTCCAAGAATCCTATGCATTGCTTCTCAAGTGTGACTATGAGTTCCTCCTATGATTCTGTCTGGATGTCTGCAATCATGTTAAAACACATTTTCAGCTTGCATTTCATTTTTATGGAGAGGAAAGTTTCAAGGGTTGAGATTAGGGAAATATCAATGTCATAAGTGTGTTGTCATGATTGAGAATCTGATCATTAAACTGTGCAGTAATATGTAAATATATATTGCTTCATAAAGTTTAGTCAAAGTGGAAAGATTTATTTTTGTTGATAATGAATGTGTTGAATATCTAAAGAAACAAAAACAAAAAAATGCCATTGATTTGATGTTGGTTTCTCATCATAGTGTTTTCAGCAAGAAGACAGAATACATAGTCATCAACAAAAGAGACAATCCAAGGAGTGAGCTACATATTGGGGATGTCAAAATCAAGCTGATACAGAAATTCAATTACATAGATAGAACAGTAATAAATGATGGAAAATATGACAGAGAAATTGAAAGTTGTATAAGGATAATGGAAGATGTGTTCAGAGATTAATTAAAGTTTTAAAACTTACACATAGAATCAGAGGCAGTTGAAATTTCTGGGATAGAGGACCTAGAGAATTTAACACTGGACATTGATGACAAAGGGAACGGGGAATCCGTATGGAACCTACTTTACAAGTTTGTGTCAATCAATGCCAGATCAGAGATGGTAATGGGTAAATAAATTACTTAGGGCAATAAGGCAGAAAATTGTGGCGAGCCATGATTGCTTATATCCAGAAAGGACAAGGCATATATAAAAGATTGTTTTGGTAATTGCTACTATAACAACTGATGGTTTATCTCTTGTGTCATAACCATTAGCATACAACTCATTAATGGTCAAAGTTGGGGGTCATTGCTGACAGGATCTTATGAATTTGAGTTTTCTGTAGAAAATCAAATGACATTGCTTCTGTTCATTGGTCAGCAGCTATCTCGGCACAAAATGTCACCCCTGTTTATAAACATTTGCCAGAATGTTGAACGAAACTGTAGGACAATGCTATAATCATGTATAGTTTGATAAAATCTATGCAAATAATCCCGTGCACTTGTGCGATATTTTCTGGTGTTTTTGCCTGTTGACAATTGTCTGGAAAGTTCGTTTTTAACAGATCATTCTTTCTTTGATATCTTTGTACCCCCCCCCCCCAAATGGTTTCATTTAGCATGCAGTATTATCACCAAATGCTTTTTTGGGCAGTTTTATGAGATTAAAGCAAAATTTGATACAGATTCTCAGCTCCTTAGAATTTGCTATGTCAGATGAAGAGGAAAATTGCTGAATGGCTGAAGCAGTTTTACAAAAGCATTTGTCACTAACATGATCACTCAACTTAGCTCTAAGGGTATTGGTAAAAAGCTTTTTACATTTAATGCATGATCTGTTCTGCTACCCTAAACTTTTGGTTGGCACCTAAGAATAGTATTACAAGATAGGTGCATGGAAAGCAGGAATCCTTTTGCAAATAATTAAAAATACAAGTTTTGTTGTCTCTGAGTGTTCCCACACTTGTTGCTTTGTACCATTCTAAACTAAGCTTAGTAAATACTAACATTATAAAGTAGGAAAAAATTTATACTTGTATCAAATAATATAAAAATTCTGCCTGTGGGTGAATGAAAGAGGAATAGATCAGAAAATATACATTGTTCATGTGATCATAATTTTTTCTTTGAAAATTTTCTGCAGACTTGGTTGCTTACACCTTCTTGGGTGCAAAATGTTGGCGACTGAAAAGAGAAATTGGTTAAAAAAAAAAAAAGTTTACACTAATGAAATTTTTTTTCTTTTAATGAAAAGGCCAGTAAGAACACTCCATGTTTGAAAGATAGAGTGAAAGAGATAGAAATATGAATACTGTTCTGTTTAGCAAAATTTTCACTATTAGCACAAGGTTTCCTCAAATTTCTGCTAAAATAAACATTTTAGACTAATCCAAATTCAGTACATGGCAAGAAAATCACTCAGTAATCCATGAGCATTGGCCTGTGAAAGACTTGCATGCTCATCATCACTCCAAGCTGGCATGTTCATCTGATGCTGAATAGCAGACTTAAACCAGGCTGTCATCAGTACCTCTTCTTTAAGCTCTAATAGGACAAGAGAAAATTTTAAAAGGTTATTTGGTATTGGTCAGGTCAAAATAAGCCTTGTGTTCCTTTTCGACTCTCATGACTGTTCCTTTTTCTCTGAATAAAAGATAAGTCCTGTAAATTAGAATACTATTATTTACACTATTGACATTAAGACTATTATCCTTATCTTTGTTATTACAACATTTTGGCTGTTGTACCCTCTGATTTTCATAAGGTGTATATTGATCCGTGTAGCCTACAGGAAATTCCTATAGGGACAATTGCCTAGTGCAATGTTTTCCAAAGTGGGCGATAGCACTCCCTTGTGGGCTGTTATGTTGAAAGGGTGTACTGGGAGTTTTTTTATTTCATTTATGGGGTGGTGAACATACTCAGGTGGCATTGGGCATGTAACCATTTTTATCAGATTTTCAAAAATTATTCAATATTGGCTACAAAAGGAAATTTCTGAAAGTGCTGTGGAAAGCTACCAAACTTTTCTTCATTGCTTTTTCAACTTCCTATATGGCTGAATGTGGTTTCAACACAGTTACAGAACTTCTTATTAAACAAAGAAACCAACTGCAAATTACAAAACAAGGTGATTTATGATTAATTCCAAGAAGCATGGAACCTAGAGTAAGAACCTTAGCCAGTAAGCACCAAAGTCAACCATTGCATTGAAAACATTGAGATAAGCTATCAAGTAAAAGATTTTTTTTAGGATTTTAATCATTGGCATTTCTAATAGAAATGAAAAAGAGTAATTAACATTATTTTTGCACTAATATCTAAATGTTATCTTGCTATGAAGGCCTAGTGGATTAAAGCATTGGTTAATGAATTTTGGTGACATAGTAATTATAAGTTCAATTCCTGGTCCAAGCAGTGTGTATTTGGACTCCGTGGGAACAGGGTGAGCAATTCTAAAAATAGGAACATGAGATATCTTGAGACATTGGCAGTGGAACAAGAACAGTCTGTCCCTGTAGATTAAATAAAGAGATCAGTTTGGAATTTCCTGTAGGTTACCTAGATCGATATACACCCGATGAAGGCTGGAGGGCACAACGGCTGAAACATTGTGATAACAACAACAAAGATGAAGATAGTAGATTCATGTGGAAATAGTATAAATAATGGTAACTCTTCATCCCAGAAATTCAGATGGAAGTTAGAATACTGTCTGACTAATTTCTGTCTCTATGTATAATCTATAGAAGCTTTTCATTCTTTTAAGTCAATGATGATTATTCTTGGTTTTTGTGTCAGGCAAAAATAATGAATGTTAAATGTTAGTTATTTTTCTACCCTCTGACTTACTGAATAAAAATTAAAAAACAAAAGAAATTATGATTTTATACACAGATTTTTTTATAAAGTTTCTTAAATCTCCTGGGGTTTATTTGGATGTCTGGCGGAAAATGGTTTCAGTGTTTGCTGATTATCTTCTATTACTGTTTCCTGTTCCAGCTCTAAGTTAAAACCATTCTTTTAAGAATGGCCACAGCCAGTGGCTGTTATGCCTCTAATAGCAGAGGTTATTTACAGAGTGCTTCACTAAAGAGCCTAAGCATTTATTCAGATGAATGCCAATTTTTGACAATGAAGTTTAGGAAGCTGGTAAGTTGGATAAATGTAATGAAAATGTAAATTGTGTTTACCTCTAACTCAATTTATACATACTAACTGTATTTTAGTTGTTTGAATAATGATCTTTGATTGAATTGTGTGTATGTTTGTGTGTGAAGAAAAAATATTTAAGGTGTATAACTGTTTATGATTTTTTTTTTTATTAACATTCTAATAGTTACATCTTGTAGGACTAGGATTTTACCCATAGAAAAGGAAGGAAAAAATACATTTGTTCTGGTAGTAGCTACTTTAAGTTACATTGGTATTCCTATGACAGGGTTCTCTTTTGATTATATTTTTATAAGTTAGTTCTTAGACAAGTCAAATACATCCTGTGGTGAGTTATAATAGTAGTGGTTGAAACACCAATTCCCATATGGTCACTGAAGTTAAATAACATTGTGTCTGGTTAGTACCTAGATGGGTGACCACTTGGGAATACCAGGTGATGCCAGCTTGGATGTGTGGTGGTGTAATGGATAACAGCTCGGAATTAGAAATCAGAAAATCAAAGTCAAATTCCAGTCAGGCTTATTATATTCACATGTGCAAATACACGGCTATAGATTAATTAGGACTTGTATCAGTAAATTATTATCTCCAAAATATTCTTACAATCTAAAAATAATTTCTGGCTTTAAATAACCTGTAAAAAGGTTAAGCCGTGCAAAAAAAAATCAATCAATATAGTAGTAGTGTTCTTTAACATTACAGTCTTAGCAAAAGTCTATTGTTTTTTGTTTTTGAGTTAGAAAACAAAAACTTCTTTTATTTTCTATTAAAATGTGTCACTTTGTGAAAAGTGCACACTAGGATGTGTGGCTACTGATGCTCTTTAAAAGCTACCAGGCACACAAATAAAAAAGCTGACAATAGGCTTCTTTACACAATGTTGCTATGAAGAAGCTGTAAAGTAATACAAAGCCAAGATAAGGCTGAAAATCCCTGACATACATACAAAATGACCACACATCTCTTGCCATGCAATCTCCTCACCAATATAATAATCTTAGTACAGGTATATTTGGTAATCTCTGGAAGGTGGTAAGTTTGAATCATTGTGTTTGGAGATATGATTTTTATTTTTGAGGATTTGGCATCAGTTCCAAAACATTAATTGTAGTTCATGTTGCTTATTTTCTGTAAAGTAACATGATAGTTACAAGAAATTATAAAGATATCCCAGAACAGTTATTTTATATGATCGTATTGACTGGAATAGTTTTTAAAAGCTAAAATCTATATTATAAAAAATATTTTGTGAAGCACTTCAATAACTATATTGCAGAAAATTAGACTGTCTTGATGTCTCTCTTTCTTGCCCTCTCTCTCACTTACTCTCACCATCTCCCCCTCACATCCCCCCCCCTTTACCCTTACACCTCAATTATTGATATGCTTTGTATTATGTTTATTATATGGTTAGTGAAGGGATTTTTAGATTTATCAGTTTTTTTATATTCTCCCTCCAAAATTTGGTTCAAACCATTTTCCAAGTCTTTCAAATATGCATCCATGAACAACAGGATAAACCATTTTGATTTTTAGACAGTTAGGGATGCTGTTTAAATTAACTGGTGTACTAGTAAAAAAAACAAAAAACAAAAAAAAAAAAAAAAAATTTTTTTTTTTTTTTTTTGGTGTGTATGCGTGGAGGAGATAATTTTAGTTGATTATAATTCATTAAACCTCCCTCTATCCATATTTGTAAGAATCAAAAAATATTGATTTCCTTATTATTTTAGAAAATTTGGTGGGCTCCTGTTCATAATATAAATACAATGTTAACATAATCCCTGACTATTAAGAATTGGGAGAAAAGAACAATATCAGTAGTACACATTTATCAATGATGTAGGCACAGTTTTAAATTTGACATTTGTAAAAACAAGGTACAGATAACTCTTTAAGAACTCTGGGATCAGTTTCATACTGAACTTATATTATGAACAGAACCCTTCTAAAATGATAAAAATTCAATATTTTTCAATTCTGATAAATTTCATGAATAAAGGAGAGGTTAATGAATGCTAATCTATAAAATTCTTCACCACAACTAAAAAAAAAAAAAATTCTTTATTTTTTTACAAGCAGACCACTTAATTTAAGTAGTGCCCAGTTATGCTGATACAAATTTGGGTAGTCTCCTCTTTGTAAGAAAAGAAAATCAACTGAAGCATAAAAATCTATTTACTTAAATTATTAATACATTTACGTATCCTGAAGTCATCAATATCAATAAAAGTAAAGTGATTTGTTTGGTAAGACTTAAACTTGGATACAGTGAATTTGTACAATAAATATTTAATGATTTAGCAAGCAGTTAGAAATATATCATCAGAAGAAACATTTCCCTGGGATGTTTTCTTTTCCTTGTAATTTTAGTAAAATTTTGAAGAGTTTATTTGAACTTCTCAAAACAAAAATTTAAATACTTACCTCCTTTGATAGTGTTAACCCCTTAAGATAAATTTAAAATTATTCAAATTGAGTTAATCTATAAAATTTGTGTTAAGCATGAAAAGTAGCAGCAGTGGTCATCAGTAGACACATTAGATTTGACCAAATTCTTCACTTGGAATTGTCTTACATGACAATAACCCAATGAATTCAAGAATTGGCTCATGAATTTTGGTGACATTCTAATTGTGAGTTCAATCCCAGGACTGAGCAGTATGTGCTGGACTTAGTGGAAACAGAATAAGCAATAAATGAGCAGTACTAAATAAGAACTAGATGAGATATCCATTGACATGGGAAGCAGAATGAGAACCATCTGCCACCATAAATAGTTCTGTTGAAAATTCTTTGTAGTTTATCCAGATTGATATACACCTGATGAAAGTGAGAGGGCACAATGGCCAAAATGTTGTGATAATAAAAACAAAGATGAAGACATTTGTCCATGTGTAAATAATGTAAATGATAACACTCCATCCCAGAAATCCAGATGAAAATTTGAGTATTTTTTAAATTGGATATTTTTCACTTTTATTCTTTTAACATTAAAATCTACCTTGGCCTAACTATTATTTTCAGCATGAATCTTCAATATTTTTCATTTAAAAAAAAAAAAAAATATGAATGTTATATAGTTATAATATTGTTTTTCTTGTTTCAGGTAAGTTGCTGATGTTTTCATTGTTGTCAAAGTAAAGTAAAGTAAGGTAAGTATGAAGTTAATTTATATGATATTTCTCTTTATAGGTGAAAGATTATATCTCTTTTCTTTTTTTTAAAAATCTCATAAATTATGAGGTTCCATGATCACAAGTCCTGTAACACATGAGGGTCATAAGGGCATCATTTGCCACCATAACCACAGTAGTAGTGGGTGTGTTTAGGGCATCCCAATTCTGTCTGGTTTTGAATTTGGTTTTGTATTTGTTTTATGCCTTTCCCAAAAGAATTAATGTAAAGTGAATGAATGACATAAATTCAGCTGGAATTTGAACTCTGATTATCAATTCTGCATTTTATACAAATAGCCATTATGCTACAGGGCACAGCCATATAAAATAAGGATTATATTTTACAAGTATGGGGAGTATTGGCTATATCACATATATAACACCAGTTCTTATACTATCATCAATATTAAGCAACATTGAGCCTGATCAGTACCTAGATGGGTGATCACTTGGAAATACCAGGTGCTGTAAACTTGGTGGTATAATGGATAACTGCTTGGAATTGGAAATCAAAGAGCTGAGTTCCAATTGGATTCATTATATTCACTTAGGTTCAAATACCCTTTGGAAAGGTATGAATCTTTTCTCCTCAGTTATGGGTTAATTAGGACTTATATCAGCAAATCCTTATCCCTAAAATCTTTTGCAATATAAAAATATTTTGTGACTTTAAATAACCTGCAAAGGATTAAGCCATAAAAAAAAAGAAATCAATCAATTTACAAGTATGTGCAAAACTTGCTTTAATTGTGAGATGTTTACTTAATTGATATGAAGTTGAATTATAAGATTTTAATTGTTCTATTTAGTTTCATCTCATCTGAAATGAACCTTACCCAAGGTGATTTAATTCACTTTTGTTTTTTTTTATTGAAACATCCTTTGAGTTTATTAGTTTATCAAATCATTGATATGGTTTGATATTTTATAATGAAAGATTTCATGACATAAGCTTCATGCTTGTTGATTAGTTTTCAGATAAATTTGTTCTTGAATGGTTTATCATTTCCAAGTGTCAAGTTATTGTAAGCAATAACTTTTGCCCTCCTGCTTTGGAATGCTCTTCTGCTTGTTAAGATTAATCACCTTTCTTAACTGCATAATGAAAATTGACCTCAGTGCTTAAAGACCAATGCACTAATAATTTAGCTCTGTTTAAAGTTAGTGAGAGCACATTTGCTGACTACTGAAGCTGATTGTGGAGCTGTAAAAGCTGTCAGTTGAAAATTGACCAGTAGTGAAATCAAGAAGAAAAGTAAATACCTGAGGGAAATGACCAATGGAGACATGTATCATTCTAATGACTTAGCCTTGGTCAGTTATGTCAAGAATAAAAAAGTAAGGTTGTCATCTTCTGTCTTTTCTCTTACAGCTCATAAAACTCTCCATGGAGACCTAATCTTAAAACTGCAACTTCTTCAGTGGAAGTAATAGAATTACTAAAAGCATTTGGCTGTTTAGACATCTTGACTCCAATATAAAATCATTAATAAAATGACTGAGCATTGCCTGAGCCATATTTTCAGCATTGTTGAAGAAAAAAAAACAAAACATGGTTGATCCATTGAATGGCCTGGAAAGAAAAGCCAATTAGCTTTTTTTCTCATCAAAGCTCTAAAAAGGATATTCTTTAAACTTTGATGTGTTGACATGTTGTGGGAGGAGGTTATTAGCTAATTCTTGCTTTTAAGATGGACAGTTAAGGTTTTGAATTAGTTTTATTTTCATATACTTAATTTAGTTTCAAATAATATGAAAAGGAAATGACTGCTGCATATAATATTAAGGGTCATAAATCTACTCTGTCTCTCTATTAGGTTACTAGATTGTCAAAGTGAGAACTGCAAAATTTTATTTGCTATTAGAAAAGAGGTTGATCTGCTACATACTGAAGAATTTTTTTTTTAGCTTTTTGTTAATATTTCTGCAAGATTTTATTAGTTTCTGCAATATATATTTTTATTTTATTTTCCTTGTCAAGGTAAAAGCTTCAATTAAAACTTGTTCCATTTAATTGGATTGATCTCTTGAAGTTATTTTGACATTATCAGCAATGTAACTGGGTAATGGAAAGCATTAACCTTATTTGATAGATAATTGTTTTCAAAGCTCTCACAATGGCAGAACATTGAACTTTGTTCTCATTCTTTTGCAGTTTTATTATTCAACCAAGAAGGGACATATTAACAATTTTGAATCAAGGCAGAATTTATTACTCCTTATTGTTAAGTTATTACAAAATGTCCGAATAACTGTATTAGGTAT